CAAAAGTATAGATTATATATGCACAACATGCATTCAGTTATGAATATTTATTGTATCTTTATCATAAGGACTTAAAATTTGATCAAAATATGATGTATTTTAGCCATTTGAAGAAATGTTTACATTTTGTTCTCACAGCACTAAAGGTGGCCGTACATCCCCCTTAATGTTTAGCTCAATGTTCTTGTAATTTGTTTATATTGTATTTTGGATTGTAAATATTGTGTAATGGGTATAATTTCTGCATTGGTCCAATTTTGTAATTCATTCAATTAAAAAAAATCAGAAATGTGCAAATCTGTATTCATACATGTATCAAAAAAGTTTGAATGCCAAAATATTAAAGCTTAAGTCACTTAGTGAATAAAAAAAAGATATTTACACTGCAGAATTATCCTATATGTACTCACTGTTTATAATGTAATCTCTTCTCTTGCTATATTGTACATGCTTTCCTTCTCTATAATCACCTTGTGTTGTGTCCCCTCTCTTACAGTTTGGGTGGAGGTGATCTTCTGTCACCCCCTAACACCCAGTTTCTTAACCCCGCCTCTTTGGCGGGGCAACTCCCACAACAGAAGCGACATTCATTTACTGCCACGCAGGACACGCCCACTCAATACCAACATAACCGCAGGTAAACATTTGGTCAAGTACTGCTCATACAGGAGGTAAATATTAAGTCAGTACTGAAAACGTGTCTCACTCTGATATGCCAGCTTTAATTATACATTGTCTGTCAAAGTCAGAATTGTTCAAGGTAGGAGATAAGTAAGCTGCTTTTAACTTATTGTGATACTTGTAGAAAAGCCTCAGATTAGTTTTCAGTTATATAGTATCTAAGTGTGTAGGTATACACTGTGGAGAGTTTTTCTGATACACGTTTACAGCAATTTAGCAGTAAATTCCAAAATTAATATATTTATTTAAAAAAAAAACCAAACAAACAAGTCATCCACTCAAAGGCTTTTGGTAACAAAAGGTATAATGGAATGTTTCTCTTTTATGTGGTGTGTGTAAAGTATAATGCATGATTTGCATGCTAGATGCTTTATTTTATATCTGACCATTTTGAGTCATAAGTCTATATGCATATACATGTATTAGCTTGCGACATTTTACCACATTTAGCATGTACATTCTACTAGGAGAATAGTTTCTTTTCTCCTATCTGTGTATACTACATGTATTAAAATATTCATATACCATTCACTTGGTTAATTCAGCCTTTGGAGAAGCCAAATTTTTTAACAGATAATAGGAATAGGAGTAGAATATGTGAATAATTAACAGATACCAAGCTTTTAGAGGGGGATGCATATAAGATAAGAAATAATATCTGAAGTGACAAAATAGTGAAGTCATAAATCTAAGGACTTTACAATGCTTGATCTTAAGATCTCTGGATTGTCTGCCCAGATTTTCTCAACCAGAGAGCTACAGATCTGCAGTTGTATTTGGAGAAATCTTTTCTTTTATAGATCTCTAGAGCTGAGCAGCAAAGGAAATCTAGTGATCCCACCAACATCTGTATCAGGTCAAGTGAGATCCCCGCCCCCTCTTCCAAGGACAGGGCCAGAGAGGCCCCTCAATGTCACAGACCAGGCAGGGGGAGGCAGCAGGGAGAAGGTACAGGTTTTAAAAGGATCGCCCTAAATTAATGCTTCTGACCCAAGTAGTGCATTTGGACAAACAAACTATATTTCAAATTACGTGATGATCATTGATCAGGGTTCGACACTAACGGTAGACCGGCGGCCCGAGTCCACCAAAAAATTGGAAGGTCCACCAAATGTTCAGGACTAGGTGGACCGTCGGTCCACTTAAAATTTAAACACCATATTTAAAGACAGTGAAATTCCAGAATTTCTTTTTCTTTAAATCGAAATCCCTAACTCAAATTATTAATTCCTCCATACCTTTATTATACAAGAATTAAAAATACATGTAAATAATGTTTAGGTAATGAGGTGGGGGGGGGGGGGCAAGTACATGTAAAATTGATAACTCCAATATTAACAATAATATTGAGACGCAAGAGCATTCAACATGGACCTTGAATAAACATGAAAAATCCGTGCCAAATTAGCCAGTCTCTCCCCTATTTACGAAATGCACAGACAGGTGTGAAAATTAAACTGGGTAACAGGAAATCGCTTCACGTCTGAACGCACACAGTTGGAGATAATTAGAATTGATTGACAGCTGCATTTATGCATTGTTTTTTGTTTTTTTTGTTTTTTATATAGATGTTCAAACAGGCATAATTTACATTAAATGAACTATTAACTGCAGTTTCATTTTCTTTTCTTGATATACATATTATATCACTACTAATTTGAATAAATAATAAATTTAGAAAATAACTAATTAATACAGATACATGTACCTATGTCAGTTTTGCACTGTAGTAATTGTAAAATAAATTATCTAGCCATGGATACATGAAAAATTCACTTGTTTAATAATTGAACAAATTAATTAATAATTGGAGTTTTAAATTTCATCTACCTGTGGAAGTGAAATAAATGAAGGTTTTCACCATTGTAACTTAATGATTATTAAAATATTTCTTTGGTTTATAGATTAATCGTTTTTTTTTAAGTTTTAAAATATTTCTGGAAAAAAAATCTGACTAGTCCTTAATATTAATTTGATTCTGTTGACTTGTTAGATTTGTGCTTTATTGGTCTGTCTGGAATCGATATATACATGTATTACAGTTAGTTTTAATTAACGCCTTGTGTAATGATTCATTCATTAAATTCAAACATTTATAAAGGTCCACCAGATATTAAGAAGGTCCACCAATAATTTTTGACAAGTGGACCTGCGGTCCACCAAGGTAAAAAAGTTAAGGTCGAACCCTGTTGATCATATTTACCATTATAGAATGCAAGCATTTTAGCATTACATGTGTATTGCATATCAGTACGTAGAATATTTTTCAAGTTTAAATGTAGTACATGTATTTTGATATTCATGATATTCATTGTAGACATCTAGTAGGGGAGCTTCATTACTGCAAGAAGGCACCAGAGTGGGGTCTTCTAAAACCAAAATGTAAGTATGGGAATAGGAAAAATGTTCAGATAAGAATGTGAAGATGTATATCAACTTGACAGTAGATACCGGTACATAATTTATTTGCATTGAATGTTGACCTTCCATTCTTAGCTTTGTTGCCTTGTATCACTACAAACCCCAGAAAGAGGATGAGGTTGAATTAAGAAAGGGAGATTACTACAGTGTGATAGAGGCCTGTCTAGATGGATGGTTCAAAGGTCGATGTCTCAAGACTGGCAAAGCTGGGGTCTTCCCTGGAAATTATGTACAGCAAGCCAGGTTTGTTACCTGTAGTTTTAGACCTTCAGTTGTTTGCTGAAAGTGTAATTTATGAATATTGTTCAAGAAGTTTAAACTCATTTTTAATACTTTTTAGCTCACCTGAGCCGAAGGCTCAAGTGAGCTTTTCTGATCACATTTAGTCCGTCGTCCGTCTGTCTGTCTGTCCGTCCATCTGTCCATCTGTAAACTTTTCATATTTTCAACTTCTTCTCAAGAACCACTGGGCCAATTTTGACCAAACTTGGTACAAAGCATCCTTGGGTAAAGGGGAATTTAAATTGTTAAAATGAAGGGACATATCCCCTCGTAAGGGGAGATAATCAAGAAAAGCGAAAAATAGGGTTGGGTCATTAAAAAATCTTCTTCTCAAGAACCACTGGGCCAGTAAAGCTGAAACTTATGTGGAAGCATCCTGGGGTAGCGTAGATTCTAAATTGTTCAAATCATGACCCCTGGTGGTAGGGCGGGGCCACAATGGGGAATCAGTGTTTTACATAGAAATATATAGGAAAAATCTTTGAAAATCTTCTTCTTAAGAACCACTGGGCCAGTAAAGCTGAAACTTATGTGGAAGCATCCTGGGGTAGTGTAAATTCTAAATTGTTCAAATCATGACCCCCGGGGGTAGGGCGGGGCCACAATGGGGAATCAATGTTTTACATAGAAATATATAGGAAAAATCTTTGAAAATCTTCTTCTCAAGAACCACTGGGCCAGAAAAGCTGAAACTTATGTGGAAGCATCCTGGGGTAGTGTAGATTCTAAATTGTTCAAATCATGACCCCCGGGGGTAGGACGGGGCCACAATGGGGAATCAGTGTTTTACATAGAAATATATAGGAAAAATCTTTGAAAATCTTCTTCTCAAGAACCACTGGGTCAGAAAAGCTGAAACTTATGTGGAAGCATTCTAGGGTAGTGTAGATTCTAAATTGTTCAAATCATGACCCCCGGGGGTAGGACGGGGCCACAATGGGGAATCAGTGTTTTACATAGAGATATATAGGAAAAATCTTTGAAAATCTTCTTCTCAAGAACCACTGGGTCAGAAAAGCTGAAACTTATGTGGAGGCATTCTAGGGTAGTGTAGATTCTAAATTGTTCAAACCATGACCCCCGGGGCTAGGGCGGGGCCACAATGGGGAATCAAAGTTTTACATTGAAATATATAGGAAAAATCGTTGAAAATCTTCTTCTCAAGAACCACTGAGCCAGAGAAGCTGAAACTTATTTGGAAGCATCCTGGGGTAGTGTAGATTCTAAATTGTTCAAATCATGACCCCTGGGAACTGGGCGGGGCCACAATGGGGAATCAATGTTTTACATAGAAATATATAGAAAAAATCTGAAAATCAAAACTGAAACTTATTTGGAAGCATACTGGGGTAGTGTAGATTTCAAATTGTTTAAATTATGATAAGTGGGAAGGGTGGGGTCACAATATGTATTACAAGGGGGAAATCTGGTAAAGAACAGAATGGACAAAGCTTCTCAGGTGAGCGATGTGGCCCATGGGCCTCTTGCTTGTTTTTTGTCTCGCCTGCGACGAATGTCGCGAAGCGAGACATAGCGACCATAGATTCCGTCGTCGTCGTCGTCGTCGGCGTCCAACTTTTGGTTAACCCAAATGTCAAAGTTTTATAAACTGCAATAACTTTCTCAAATTTTATTCAGTCTTCTTGAAATTTGGACACAATATTCAGTATGGATAAAAATTTATATCCCAAGTATGATTTTGAAAAAAAAAATTCAAATTTTTACGTATTTTTTCCTTAAGTTGGACTTAGTTTTTTCATGATAATTTATGGTGAAGACCTATATTCCAGCAACTATAAGTTATAGGGATATGATAATTAGTCAGTGGATACATCATGGGTAACCACAAACGTCAGTACCAGAATTAGGTCATCTTGACCTACATTTTTCTGCATGAGTGACTTTGGTTAAATTTTTGGTGGAGGTCCATATCTCAGCATCTATAACTTATAATGGCATGATGATTTGTCATTGTACAGGTTATAAGTAACCAACAACATCAGTACCAGAATTAGGTCATTTTGACCTACATTTTTCTGCATGAATGACTTTGGTTAAATTGATAATGGAGGTTCATATTTCAGCAACTATAACTTATAGTGGCATAATAGTTAGTCAGTGGATACATCATGGGTAACCACAAACGCCTGTACCAGAATTAGGTCATCTTGACCTACATTTTTCCGCATGAGTGACTTTGCATAAATTTATGGTGGAGGTCCATATCTCAGCAACTATAACTTATAGTGGCATGATAATTTGTCAGTGGATACATCATGGGTAACCACAAACGCCTGTACCAGAATTAGGTCATCTTGACCTACATTTTTCCGCATGAGTGACTTTGCATAAATTTATGGTGGAGGTCCATATCTCAGCAACTATAACTTATAGTGGCATGATAATTTGTCAGTCTACACATCATGGGTAACCAACAATATCAGTACCATAATTAGGTAATCTTCACCTACATTTTCTGCATGAATGACTTGATACATATACAGTGGATTTGATTTCAAAATGCAAGTTCAAATTATTGCGACTCATAACACGTTGCAATATTCGCAATAATAAAAACATCACAATAATTTGTGAATTTACAGGGTATATGTATATATATATAAATGCCAATATAATCGCCAAGGGATTAGATATTAAGTCAGCTGTTCCATTTCTTTATTATTGTATTTTTGAGTTATTCCTTCTGAAATGTCAATAAATGCTTCAGTTTATCAGACAATCATTTCTTACTAACCACAGCGACAGCAGGCGAGACACAGGGTTGCGGGCAACCCTTACGTACTTTTTTTTTATACCAACTGAATTCATCCCTTCTGATTGGACTGGAAAATTAAAAAAGTTATGAAGACTTCGATATTGTCTTTGAATGATAAAATTGCCCCCAAAAATCTATCACTAGAAATTACCAGTTTAATAAACATGGGGTTTTATTTTTTAGGTCTCCTTCTGCTGGTGGTTTACCCAATAATGTCCAGAATTTACGTGCCAAAACATCATCATCCAACTCAAAGTCTTCGTCAAGGCAAGAAATGTCATCCAGACCAGAACAGGCAATTTCTGCCAGGCAAGACAACAGTGCTTCACATAAACAGGGGACTCACAACTCCAGACTGGATGGTCCGCCGTCATCATCATCCAGACAAGAACAGTCTGCCATCTCCAAACCTGTACCTACGTCGTCATTAAGTTCATCATCCGGGTCACAGGTGCCCCCTGTCAAGTCTTCTCACAAACCTCACCTCCCTCCCCCCTCCTCGGCCTCACTGTCCACAGAGGCTAACCCTGACAGAATCTTAAACTCACAAATGTCGTCCACATCTCATACTGCAGATCATTTATCATCACAGGCTAGAAGTGTTCCTAAACCTGTCTATGTCAAAGCAGCATCCAAAATGAGTCCTTTAAGAACCACTTCATCTGATGTGCAGGGATTTGCAGCTAACGCAGTGGTTATACCACCTAACTCGGTGATCAGTAAAACAGGACCAGTGGTTGGAGTCAATGGACCAGGATCTTTGGTCCCCAGTGTACAGATAACAGATCCTGTGGGAGCCTCTGGGGAGTCTTCATCATCAAACAAGGTACACGATAATGTACATTGTCATTATTCAAAAAGGCAAATTCTGCTGTAGCAGCAAGGATATTATTTTCAGACTCAATGAATTAGATAATAAGATGATTTGTACCTGTAAATATTTTAGAGAGAGAAAAGAGAGAAAGAAAAGTTAAGCCTTGTAAAGAGACTGACTTCTGGGAAGGGTAGGAAGGCCAGGTCCACCCCAGACAGTGAGGGAGCCTTACCCTCGGGAAAAGTAGCTCATACAAGGTAAAATAGCATACGAAAGACACTAATGCACACATAGGATACATTTGCTCATAAAAGGAAAATAGCACATACAAGATGTAATAGCACATAAATGTACAAGGTATAACTTGCTACATATGTGTATATACAGTAACTCTGAATTCTTCTAATTTAGGTAAGATTATTATTTTATATACATGCATAATTAATTTTTCAATTCATTTAAGAAACCTGCAACTTAAGCATATATTTCCTAGATACCAAACATAAAACTTTTTTCACAATGTTTGGAGATGCTAGATTTATAAATATGTTTTCTGTTGGAATTGTAAATTTTCTAAAGTTCCATAGGTTTTGAAAGTACATGTGTATATTATCTATTTTACTATCATATAAATAAATCTATGACAGACAGAACATCAAACAGAACCTCAATTTGACAGATAATTTTTTGTAGGTCTGGTATTTCAATCCCATCCCGAGGTGGCCACGTCTGTAGAAGGCCAACATGTTAAGACTGGATCTTTTGATTCCTCTGTACACCCTCCTCTCGTGTTAAAACATCACAAACAAAAGTCCCTCAGTCGAGAAAAGTAAGTTCCTCAGTCAAAAGATTTCAAAAACAAAAAGCCTCCATGGAGAAAAGTAAATGTTTGAAAAAAAAAC